CACAACCTAGTCTTTAGCATAGACAGACATTGCACATCCTTATTGTAGTCAGGGGTAATCGTATTCCCTTCTAAAGCCTGGATTTTCTTTGCAAGGCACATATCACATAGGCGTTTCTGTCTTCTTCCCAGTTGTACTCGGAGCTACTTTTTCAGTAGTGTTTTTTTATTCTTTTGATTCCTTGTTTGGATGGCTTTGCTTACTTGTCCCATAGTTTCTTATCTAGCGGATCTTACGGTTTGATTTAAGTCGATGTGAAACAATTCTGCTTGAGGTTACGTTCGAAAAGCATTCTGAAAAACCCTTAAGTTTGCACTCCAGTGGGATATGTGTTCAGCGAAGTATTACTTTAGCGTTTCTCTGAAATATACATATTTATAACGCTGAGATTTTTAAAACATGCACGTTTTTGGAAGCCATTCATGCTGCAAATTACTATGATCCCAGTTTTATTTGTGTTCATTTTAAATTTTATTTTAATTTATAATTAACTTTTTGAAATAGTTAAATTTTTAAGATTAAAAAAATTTAAATTTTTTGGGTAAATAAAAGGAAAAACAAAAAAGCTACTCATCTGAACCCGAAACATTTAAAGTACCTATAGGTATATAAGGTATTTCTCCCACTTTCTTGGCGAGCTTTCGTGGTGTGGTGGTCTGGAAACTGGCTGGCATTTCAGAGGTCCGTGGTTCGATTCCCGGCGAAGGCGGTTGCTAATTTTTCAATTCCTTTGCGTTCAATTAACCTAATGTTTCTACAGTGGCGTCTGAACTAAAAGGGTGTTGGATGATGATTCTCCGCACCCAGGATTTGGCGATTGGGTTCCCTAAAAACCCCAGTCGCCCTTTTAAAGGGGGAGTATATAAGGTATTTATCCCACCTTCTTGGTGAGCCTTCGGGGTGTGGTGGTCTGCACACTGGGCCAGTATTTCAGAAGTCCGTGGTTTGATTCCCGGCAAAGGCAGTTGCTAATTTTTCAATATCTCTTGCTTCCAATTAACCTAATGTCTCTACAGGTAAAATGTAAATGACATATTGATGAAAGTAAACAAAATTTCTGTCTTCAAATTTAATAATTTTCTCTTTTCTTAAACAGCCTTCTTAAAATTTTAAGAGCAGTTTTAATTACACAAAACTGCTAGTTTGACAAATATTAAAGTATTGCGCTGGTGAAAACCATTTTTTAAATTTCTTTGGAAAAGAAATGTAATAGGAAAAATAAATTCAAGTATGAAAAGTTTTAAAGTATATTTTTTAATAAATGAGGAGAAATGCCTGAATTGTATCAAACTTATAAAGTAAAAAATCAAGATGTTTAATTAAAAAGCGGTATTATTAAATATAAAATGAGGGCAATTACTAAATTAGACCTACTATTTTGAGTTTTAGAAAATTTGATACTTCGACTAAATTTAGGGGTAGAAAGGAAATGCAGAAAACAATCGGAGTTCCATTTCAGAAAATCCCAGTTTTGCACCAAAAAACGCATGTTGGTTCAATGTAATATAAAAAGGGAATATGTTCTCCAAGTACTGCTTTTAAGGCATGAAACGCACACGTTGAATTTCGTTGATCAAATAACGAGAAAATAAGATATAGAACTACGTGTTAGAACAATGTTCACTTCATTATCTCGCCACCAGATGGCTGCACTATGCAGGAAGCAGTTTATTCAGTTTCAAAGATGGCTTGCCTGCTAGTGTGGAAATGTAGAAAATTAATAATAAATTATAAAGTAATGATTAATTGTAAAGTAGAAAATACTGTTTGATTGTAAATATTACAAATTAATTTGTAAAGTGTTTTTGTAATTTTTCTGGTTGTTTAATTGTTTTAAGTTCTTAATTTTTCACTCTGTGTTTTCAACTGCAACTTTGAACTGAAGAGAGAGAGTGTCTCTGAGTTGGGAACCATGTGTTGGACTGTGAATGTGGAGTTTGTGTCAATAAAACTCTTGCATTATTTAATTTAGTTTTTTGCTGATTTATTTTACTGTATCAATATTGGTTTAATCACTAAAATAATTTCTCTCCAAACACGGCCATTTGATACCTCCAGGACATACCCCTTCTTTTTTCATTCATTGGTCATTTATAATATACTTAAGTCTGAGACAAATGTTTTCGCATGCTCAGAGAAACTCTGTCTGAATGGAGACAAACGCATCCTGCTAGTTATTTCTCAATATTTAACACAATATAAGAACCAACAACTTGTTCGAAACAACAAATCAACTTAATGGTAGCACGTCTTTTGCAAAAGAGTAGCATTTAAAAGTTGGAAATATTTGAAATATGTGCGAAACGAACTTTCTCAGACACATTTAGTTTGGTTTCTCAGTACAAAGTATGTCTATCTCGAACTGTGATACAAAAATCACAGTACCACGGAACAGTCAGTGCCAAGAAATTTGAGTTCCAGCTCTGGATTTTTCCAAACTTCCTTTGCAGCAACGGTTCCCAACGTTTCTTACTTTCAAGTACCTCTTACTAAGAGTATATAATTATGAAGTTTTCCTAACCTCCCGTTTCAGAGCCCATGACCCCCAATTCCCCTGGAGGACGTTTTAAAGGAAATTGGCTCCTATCCACCTTACACATGGGGAAAAACCATGAAACGTCCTCGCAGCAGCTCGTTCGTCGGGACTAAAACCTCGGACCGAACTAATAGTGTCCAGTGGCTTTTACAACTCGACCGCTGATGGGTATATTTTTAGTTGGGTGTTACTTATAATTTTTGAAGTAAGAAACGTGATAAAGCTGCGATTCCCTTGCCGGAGATTCGAACTTCGGATTTTCCGACTGCCAGATGAACGACTTATCAATTACACCAAGAAAGCCGGCTGTGAGGAAGAAGAAAATTTCTTAATGTTCTTTATATGAAGTGACATTCTGCACAACATGCAGTATTTTAAATTTATGATGCTGCAAAACTAAAGAGAATCTACAAATAGCATTCAAAGATTGGTAAAACTACTGACTTAAATACGTGTATATCTCTCTCTCTCTATATATATTGTTTTATTTAAAATATATATGCTAGAATTGTAAGATCCCTTTAAAGATTTCTACATGGTTTTTAACTCTTTAACTTTAGAAACTTTAACATTAGGTTTTTAACTTTAGAAATGATGGTTTCTTTGAAAGAGCAACGGAATGTGTGTATGTAATTCTAGATAAAAGATAAGGCGAATTAAGATGCCACTTCACTTAAACTATAAAGGAACACTTTGTTGATCGACTTTTCTCCTTATGTGGATCGTCGCATAAGTTATTTGTTGCAATTCGAAAGAATAGATTGGGTAACGCTGGGGGGATTTGGAAGTGTCGATATGATTGTTAATTAATTAAAGTGTATTTATTGCGTGCATAAATTTAGGTAAGAGCAAATGTTGTATCTGTATTTATTCAGTATATCTAGACATTTACAATGAGCATTGTCATTAGAATTTCCATTGTCCACACGTTTAAATATTTGCTCACTTTTCAACTAAATTTTTCTCAAGAAATTAACGTTTTGCTTTGTTCTTCTTCGAAGTTTATCTGCTTGTAACTTTGTACATTCCTAAATCACAAGTGATTCCGCAGTTTGATTTTTGAAAGCGACAGAATGTTTTTATAATGTATACTTTGTATCGATTTAAAATTAATAATTTTGAGGTACACATTTTTTCACGGATGATTCGCTGCTGAATACGTAGAAAAAACTACACTTAATCGATCAAGGAATCAAAAAAATGTCTCCATTGCAATAGGTCGTAATTGTGAATCGCTAAGTCTTATTCATCATAATACATCAAATGAGCTTTATCTTATTAACCGTATATTTTATTGGCAGCAAGCCACAATGAGCTTCAAAACATAGCTTTGTAGAAACTATCTAGTTAAACTAAAAGAAACTGCAGTACTAGAGCTGAATTGTTAGAGATCAAAACAAATTTTGCACTAGCTTCCTCTAAGGCCAGATTTCAGTGACATTAAATTCTGCGGTATTTTGTAGAAAATGAGTGGTTTGTAAAATCATAACCTCAGCGAAACGCTACTCTTCAAGAAGGAATGCATTATGTTTGAAGAAAAACTTCAGTAGAAACTGCAGTAAAATAAGTTTTAAATACCCGAAAGGTACCCGAAGCTGTGATTAGAGCAAAACTAATTTCAAGCAAAAATTTTTTTTTAAATAACAGCATGTGGTAGTTTTTAAGTCATATTACTACCGCTTGTAATAAAGGACATAACACACTAGTATATATGACGATACATGTTTCTAAATATTCTTAGCAAAACTTAAAATGAATGGAAATCATTAAAAAGAGGTTTTTGCTCTGACATTTGTAGGAGGTTGTATATTTGATAAACATCTGCATAAAGTTTCGTAGTATTTTATTAAAATGAAGCTATGTTTGTCCTTTTTTCTTTTTTTTTAACCCAAATGAGGTTTAGAATAAATGCAAAGTACGTGTTATTAGTAAGTTTATTTAAAGGATGATCTGATGTGATAAGTCTATAAAATAAGTTGTAAAGTACGGAAATTTTGTAGAAATAATGACATTTCCAAGTTGAATACAAGTAAATTAAGTAAGAACGTAACGTTAAAAATTATGTCATTCAGTCTTTATTTACCAGTGTGTAAGTAGTATAATCATGAGATTTTTCCAATGAATGGATTTATTTTTAATAACCATATAATATACTTATATTTAAAATTATTTTTATTATTTTCCTAGACAAAATTTCTTAATTAAATGAAAACTAGTTCATAATTTTGTTGATATTTGAGTTTCAATCACTCTGGGCACACGAAAAAAAAGGGGCTCTGGAAACTGGGAATATATCATTCATGTTGATTCCGATAACTCACACCGAATAGTATCTGATATTTAGTTTTTAAAACTTATCATGTCTTTCACAATGAAATGTGAATCTTAGTATAACATATGCTTCAAATACAGAACTCTTCAACCCATTCAATGATTATTTTGTTTTGTTTTTCTTTTGTTGTAGACTAAGATATGTGATAAACTGAGTAGGGGATGCCAAGCAGTCTACTTTTTTCAAGATTTCTTTTGCTGGTTATCTGCTGGATTTTACATTCTTATCTGTTATCAAAGTAAGTCGATTTTAAGAAACTATATTAGAAAGTTAGTCCTTATATTAAATAATAATAAGCAAGTGTATTAAAAACTATTTGTCTTTTTAACTTAAGCTAATAAATGAGAAAATCCGTTATTTTATTTTAAGAATTGACTCATAAATAAACCAATAATAGATCACGCAAAACAATTTCCTAATAGCATCAAATCCACATTATAGTCAATAGAAACTGAATAGAGCATTTGAGTCTAGAAACTCAATAAGGTAATAAGATGAAATTATAATGTGCCACAAGTAGTAAATATATTGCCGTCTGAATAAGTACTGAAAAACTGTATACACATGTATCTATGTTTATATTTATAATACTATACCTTTTATAAAAAACACGAGCAACAGTAAAACGTTTTCGAGCTTGACGGATTTAGGTAGTGATAATACAAATTGTGAACATTAGATTTATAACTAAAGAAAGAGAAATCTAAAAATTCATTCAAGTTGATACGTAATAAGGAATTATGAACTAGACTACGAATTCAAGCGCTTAGATACTGAAAAATAAAAAAGTATAGATAAAATGATATATTTACAAATATAAAATAAATATATTTACTTTCTAATGTATGGGGAAATCCATCCTTCTCTTGTAGTTGTTATTAAATCTATTTCTAAGAATTTATGAAAGTTTTTAAATGAAATTACTTTTTACTCAAAATTGCATAAAACATATAAATTAAAAAATTAAATTTCTTGACATTCAACAACCATTTGTATTTAAGTAACCACAAACATCTAAAAATGTAAAATATGAATTAGGGAATGATATAATGTAATACGAGGCTCTGCGTTTTCTGCTGAATTTCTTCTGAGGGGTAAAGCATTGTTTTAAGACCTCATAATCAAAAACCGTGTGTATGATCGATAGCTTTATTTAATTCATAAAACTTCCCGCGCAGAGAATGTCCTTCATTCAACACTTTTTCTCCTCACAGATTTTCCCTTTTCTGCGTTTCTTGTAAGGTGCATTTAAGATAGCTGAAGCAAACAAAATTTTTTGTTTAAATTAAATACTTTTAGGTTTTCGTGACTCATATTTCACGTTTAGTTACTTACTAATGCAAAAATTTCGTTCTTCAATTTGTGTATGATTTTTGAATAAGATGTTAGAGTTTAATATGAAATAACTCTGTCATTTTTTATCGTAAATAAGTCAAACATTTTGTACTTCAATTTTTTTTTTTGTAATGGGCATACAATTTTCCTAAATGTAAGTATAAAAACTTATAAAAACTGAGATTTTCAATTTTTACAAAAATGATTTAAATTTTAAAATGTCCAAACAAGAATCTTTGCGTCTAACCTTTTCAAGACGGCGCACTTTTGTTTAGTCATTTCCTCGGGACGGAGGAGAGTCAAAAGGAATGCTTCCACAGGAAGGCGGCTTTTCAGTCGCGAAGCCTAACTTTAGAAAAAAATAAATTAAGAATGTTCAAGTGTCGCAACTTCATAATTTTGGTACTATTTTAGATTATTACTTAAGCTATCATTTATGGTAAAATTAGCGCTTAATAATCTTTTTTTTTTTTTCTTTACTTTACATGGACATGTAATAAAAAAACTGCTTACTTTAAAAATAATTTTAGAATGAGCAATTCAAATTATTCCGAAGTTTTAATTGACAAAATACAATAAAAAAGTCAAAGCTAATTGAAAATGTACAGGAACTACTCTTTGCAAGAAGAAGTATCAAAATCTTTCACGGGAAGTGGAAGGCAGGCACATAGAGAGCTGAATCTCTGACAAATGCAGCTATCAGAATCACAATATCGCATTATAAAATGAATCATCACGCTAAATCTATGTCATTAATTGGCTCATTTACTATGGGAGTATATCTTTCTGATAAATAACGCATGCTCGTTATAATAAACTGGAGTCAATGTTTTCAAAAATATAAAGACTCTACAAAGTAGAGAAAAAATATAAAGAAAAGATCCAGAATATCAGAAATGCGAATGTTTATATCATGTGGCGAGTTGAAAAGACGATCCTTTGCTTGTTTATATTATGCTTTCATAATACTCCCCCGAGTGAGTCATGTTTCTCTCATTTCAAGTAGAAGCTCAAATCTACATGTACCTCAAATCCTTTGTAAATGCAGTGACATCCTGTGGCAAAAGTTATAGTTTTTAAAGCGTTCCAAGACACTGGCACAAATATGTGACCGCCAGGGTAAATGAGAAAACGCTCTAGCACACCAGCGACTGGGAAATGAGAGCATTTCTTGCTAAAGTGTTAACAATCGGCGCTAAAGTGTTCAAACATTTTTGTAACTGGAAGTATATGTGTGCTATCAACGTTGCGAAAATAAAGGGTGGGTAAGGGCTTTTATGGACATCAACAAGAGTTACGAATTAAAAAACTAAAAATGACGAAATCTGATATTTTACACGGTCTTTCTGTGTTTGTACTAATCAGTGGGAAAACTATGCGCTCTTTATTTAAAAAAGGTTTGAACTTTGCAGGATGAAAAATCGACCCATGTACTTGATATTAAAGTAAAAGATCATATTCAGGGACCGTACACAATTTGAAAAGGGAAATGTTTACGCTTGTAAATAAAAAGAAATAAAAGTAACAGTTTCGAAAAATGTTTCTGTTATTAAGATATTAACTGATGAGAATTTCTATGCAGATTATTCTGAAAAGTATTAATAAGTACATTTTTTCTTTCAAAATGGAGATCTTGTAGATCTAGGCAACACTACCCAAGAAAGAAAGATAAGTTCTAGAAAACACTAATAAGCTTCAGTATTGGCCTGCGACCATCTTATAATATTACCTGGAGTAATTAAAAGCAAAAAATATTTGTAGCTTAATGAATTTTGTTAAAATTATCAGATTATGATATTAAGAAAATAAAACTTTTATTAGTATAATTAATAAGTATTATCAATAAGGTATTTTTGGACTTTTGAAATTTACGAAACACTTGTAGAAAATTTCCTTCGGCATACTAACTGTAATCGGATTGAAAATTAAAGACACCAGTAAAACGCAAAGTACATCATTAATGGCATTTAAGAAATCAACCTCGAAATAGTCAAATTTGTTTATTATCTGAGCACTCAAAGCAAACTGAAAAATGATGTCAAAAATGGCAAATTTTGGAATTAAATATCTCGGGCGATCTTGGTCTTACGGGAATCAAACTTTGCGTGTTTCATTTCCTGTAAATAATATAACACTTTTCTAAGCATATGTATAGGAACCAGATGAAAGTATAAAAAATTAGACTTCATAATTTTTAGAAAACTGATTTCTTTTAAACTTAAAGATGCCAAAACATGAATTTCTTTGTCATTTGAGACACTTTTGTAACTGGAATTATATACCTACGACCAATGGTTTCAAAAATAAAAGCCAGTCCTTTTTTGTTGACACGGTATTATGAAGATTGTTTATAAAACATTACATGACTAAATATCTTTCGAACTAGTTGTCATAGATTCATGACTTCATGTTAGTAACTAAATAAAACATGCCTTTTGTTTGGGACAATTTAAGCTACATGACAATATGAGTGAATATTTACAAAATTAAAGCTTTTTTTCATTCATCCAATAAAAAGGATGTTTTTTGCCTCAATTAATGAGGGGAAAAGCCATCTTTATACCGTTCAAAAGTAACTTGAGCTGTCATTTATACAAAATTTACATGTACTATTAAGTAACCTATTAAAATTGTTCTGAAGAAGACTATACACGTAATGCACAAGTTCAATTTTTATACTGTCCTTGAAACCGAAAAATTAATTCTTCCTTTCTCCGCATGAATGTTATTTAAATCACGTAATTTTGACAATTTTTTTCAGAGATATTATTACAAATTACAAAACGTTTCTAAAATTCCTTTGGTAACGTAAGACTAATATAAACCCATGTAACTAATCTGGAAAACGCTGAAATTACTTAAACCAATAAGTTATAAATTTTTATGGATTTCGACCATCACACTAAGACTTCCTTTGAAAAGAAAGTCTGTGGAAGGCCTCCTTGGGGATTCCAATAAATATCTTTATCGTATAAATTGTACAAATAGAGAAAGCAAAATAAAATAATTAACACATCATTTTTTTTTACATGGTGAAATTACTACAACTCGTATTACATAAATTAAAAATACTTACATAATCAAAACAGAAGAACATATCAACAAAAAAGGTGACACTTATATCAAACAGAAAGAAACAGTACTTATTTCAAAATTATGATTTATAACCATAACATAAATAACATTCATTTCAATTACGAAACATATCATTCAAAGTTAACGTCTCATTCCTATTATATAAACATGTCATTGGATTAACTGATCCTTTAAATTTTTATAATAAATTCTTTCAGGGGTATAGTAGGGTTTCTTAAACCGGGGGTCGCGGGACCTGCAGCAAAGGATCGCCAACAAATTTACAAGTTTTGATATTTCTTTAACTTATTAAAATAATTTTACAGTTACCAAGTATTTTTACACAATGTATCTGAAAATAGATAAAGCTAAGACAGTACAGACAAAGAAAAAACGAAAACTTTTCGACGCGTTTCTTTTTATAATATAAACATTCATTTTCCTTGTTTTGCCCTTGACGCTGTCATTTCGTCTGTTGCTTATTTAAAATTTTCACATTGTTCTATGTCTTAAAATTAGAAATTAAAGTTAACGACCGAAAACTGCAATACTATACGGTACAAGTGAAACTATTGACAGTTTCAATCATGCGTGTGTCGGATTTGCGCAATACTTATGGGGTCCCACAAAATTTTTGTAAATATTATGGGGTCCTGGGAATCGCGAAAAAAATCTGTGATAAAAAGGGGCTGAAAAAAGTTTAAGTTTTATGTTTAAAAAGGTTGTGTTATAGCAACAACAAAGTTAATTCAATTACATGATTTAAATAAGACTTTAATCTCTTAATATTTATTTTATAATCCTAAGCAAACCCAATTTTGTTACTAC